GCGGGGTGTGAGTTCGGGCAGCAGCCGCTGCTCTTCCACCTGGCTGCGACTGAGGTGCCGCGTGCGCGCGCGGACGTAGTGCAGGCCCTATGCAGAAGAAACAGGGAGGAGGGAGGACGGGGGAGGAGGTGAGAGGAGGGGAGAGCAGGCAGGGGGAGAAAACCACGCGGGTGTCGATCACTCCGCCCCTCCTCCTGCTCTCCCCCCTCCTTCTCCCTGATCACCCTCCTGGTCATTATCTCATTCCTCCCTCCTCGCGTCCGTCCGTCCGTCTCTCTCTCTCTCTCTCTCTCTCTCTCTCTCTCTCTCTCTCTCTCTCTCTCTCTCGTTATCGTCGTCCGTCTCTCTCTCTCTCTCTCTCTCCTCTCTCTCTCTCTCTCTCTCTCTCTCTCTCTCTCTCTCCTCTCTCTCTCTCTCTCTCTCTCTCTCTCTCTCTCTCTCTCTCTCTCTCTCTCTCTCTCTCTCTCTCTCTATCCCTCTCTCCTATCTCCCTGTCTCTCTCTCTCTCTCCCTCTCTCTCTGCCCGCCCTTTCCTTCCCTATCCGCCCCGTCTTCCTCCTCTTCGCCCCGCCCCCCTCCTTCCACCGCCGTTTCGGCCCCAGGAGTCCGGCTCTGACGGCCGCCCCCCCTGCAACGCGGGGGCAGGGAGTGATGGCCGCGGCCAGCAGCAGCAGCAGCAGCCCATTGGGCCCCGCAGCAGCGGGGCCTCGGGGCCGACTGTCGGCAGTGTATACAGCGAAGTCTGGGAAGGTTTGGCGACCTGTGGGTGGTCAGGCAGAACCCTGGAAGGGCCCTTGGGCCCTTGTGCCAGAGGGCGCCCCCGCAGCAGCGGGGGCTGCGCCGCCTGGCGTTTCAAGCTCAGCAGCGGCGGCGCGATCAGAAGTTTCTACGATGCGCACCCGCCCAGGCGACTCGGTGGTGGATCCGAGCGTTGACGAAGAGCCTCAGGAAGAGCGGCGCGATCAGCCGGCCTTTGGGGGCTGCGCGCCGCCCGACGACGTCGAGCGGCGCAAGTGCGTTCTTCGCGACACCGTCCCGCCCCAGTTCTCCTGCGGAAGTAGAGCGGCTTACGTGAACAGGCAGCGGAACGACAACGTGGGCAACCTTTCCGTCCTGTTCGGGAACTGGGGCTCCATGCCGAGCGAGACCAACCGCGCGGACCAGCGGCGGAGACTTGAGTTGCAGCTGCGGCATTGCCCTGCTCTCGTGGCGTGCTGTGCGGAATGTGAGGGGCAGATGGAGGCAATCCTACAGCGGCCAGGGGAACCGCCGCCGCTGCAGGCGGACGCCCCCGCAGCAGCGGGGGCGTCAGCAGCGGAGGGCCGAAGCAGCAGCAGCGGTGGGCCTTTTTGTCGCCCCCGCAGCAGCGATGGCGACAGCAAGGGGAAGTCGTGCTGCGAGTGATGGCGATCGCCAACAGCTCCAGAATCGACCAGAGTACGAATACTTGACCCTGCGCGGGCGTGAGGACAAGTCCTTGTACATCGCTGCGCGCGCAAATCTGTGCCACGGAATGCGGCTGCTCCACTGGGAAAGGAGTGTCGACGGCCACTACAAAACTGCAACAGGGAACAATATGGAAGCGTTCTCGAGGATCATGGTGGTTGAGGTCTACTTCGATCAAACCTACGCCCACTTCGGCTCGAAAGTGCGGGTGTGCGCGGTGCACCTCCACCGCGACACGGCGAAAGCTTCCAAAGGCTTTAAGGGGGCTCACAAGACGTGGTGGCGGAGGCTGGCGGCCATCTTGCAGGAGAACAACGTTGACATCCTTTGTGGGGATTTCAACATGGCGCTCACACAGACGCTGCCGAGTATTCGGGGTCTAGGCTTGCGATTGGAGACGGCAGCAGCGTACTTCTGGCGCGGATTGGACGGCGCTCCGTGCTTGGACAGCTGCGGCATCTTCGTTCTCAACAGGCCTGGCGAGTACACCCTGTGCTGGCCGCTGAGCGCCGTGCACGACAGAGACGAGACGGGGTTGCTCTTCGCACGCAAGTCGGTGATCGGTGAGATCGGGTACCGTAACAGAAACAAGGCAGAGGCCCCCGCAGCAGCGGGGGCCTCCACCAGCCCATCATCGGAGCCGACGCACTGGCACCACTGCCAGGAAGGAGGCCCTGGGATGCCTTACGATCGCTACTACCCGAAAAAAGACGCCCGCGAGCACCTCCAGGATTTACTGACTCAGTCAGAGGAATGCCAACGCAAGATCCGAGAGAAGGAGCGCGAGAAACTGAGGCGCGCCGAGGCTGAGGCTAGAGGGGACCACCGCTTCTCTAATAATCGCGAGGTGACCCTCTTCCGCGCGTTGCAGAAGACGTTCCCGCCGGAGACCGTGGAGGTGGAGGGGCGCTGGCACGGCGGCGCCCACTGCCCTCTCCTGTTCCAAATGCGCATGGCCAGCTCGCGTTCGCAGGGAAGGAAGCAGGAGAGAAACAAAGAGAAGAAGGACAGGCGCGCCCAGAAACAGCAAGCAGCTGCGCTCCAGGGCGCCGCAGCAGCGGCGCCCGAGCAGCACGGGCCCGAGCGCCAGGCACCAGAGCAGCACCGCGAGAGGGGCGAGCAAGACGAGCGCGCCCAACAGGCGTGGCGCCCACCAAGATGGGCAGACGAAAACGCGGACGACGGCCGCGACTGGCCCGCGGCTGGCGATGGAAGGTCGCGGCGGGGGGTTGAAAGGGGGAGGGAGGGAGAGGGAGGGTGGAGCACGGGGAGGGCAGGAGGGAGGAGAGGGAATGAGGAATAGGCTGAGCAGGACGAGGGATGACATAAGGAAATGAGTGTCGGGAAGGGGCGGGAGTTGACAGGAAGGGGATAATTATAGAAATAGTTACTTATCACCCCCAAGGCGGCAGCCGACCCCGCAGTGGCCATCTCCAGGGCCTGCGCCGCTGGAGCAGCGAGGGCAAGGGTTTCAAGAGCAGCAGCCGCGGGAGGCGCCGCGGCATCAGCCGCCAGAGCCCCCGCAGCAGCGGAGGCCACAGACGCCATGGCATCAGCCAACAGACGGGGAGCGGCGCAGGGATGAGTAGTGGCGAGCCAGGGAGGGCGAGGGGCGCGAGTGGCAACAGCCGAGCGGCGAGGCTTCCTCGCTGCAGGACCGCAGGGTCGACTCCGCCTGGCGCGACATGCAAGTTGCATTCGGCAGCGACCAACGCCCCAGTGACTGGTGGAGCAGCCACAGTGGGTGGAGTAGCGGCCAGGGGCGCTGGGAGGTCACGGATACGACACACTGGAGGTGGGTCGAACACCCCCCCCGAGACCAATCCCTGGGAAGAACTTAGCTGAATTATCGCACAGGAGCCGCCCCTCCGCAGCAGCGGAGGGAGGCCTCATCGGCCGAACGTCGACCCTCCGCAGCAGCGGAGGCCTTGCCAATGCATCGTGAGCGGCGGCGACTCGCGCGCGCCGTCGTGCTCGGCGACCGCTGCCCGAGCGGAGAAGGAAAAAGAAACGCTGCTTTCATCGGTGCTGTCGTTGCCTCCTCTCCTTCATCGTTTTCTTCTCCCTCCCCCTCCAATCCCCCATCCCGCCGTCGCATTTTATCGCCTCCAATCGTATCGGGAGCTCCCGTGGCAGAAGAGCACCCATAACGAGGTCCTCCGTGACAGTGGGGGTGGGTGGGTGGTGTGGTGGTGGTGGGTGGGGGGGGGGGGGGGTGGGGGGGGGGGGGGGGGGGGGGGGGGGGGGGGCATCTTAGGGCCCCTCTGTGACAGGGGGGGGGGGGGGGGGGAGGAAGGAAAGAAACACGCAGACGCAATTCATCGCCGATCCCCCAGAAAGTATGGAAGAATATTCAGCAGAAGAAAAGACCCTAAACATAAGTAATCCACAGGGCTGCCGCACATAAGGCAGCTCGCCGTCCTGACAGAAGAAGAACCCCAGTCTATGACTAGAGCTGTCAGCGACATGGGCCTACGTAGTCTCTGGCCCAACCAGATTGACATTGCGTTTCGCTGTTCGCAGTTCAAGCTCTTCTTCTTCTTCTTCCACCACCTTCTCGGCCTCGGGGCGGGGGTGGGGCGGGGTGGGGCGGGGTGGGGTGGGGGCGGTGGCGGTGTTTTTTTTTTTTTTTTTTTTTTTTTTTTTTTTTTTTTTTTTTTTTTTTTTTTTTTTTTTTTTTTTTTTTTTTTTTTTTTTTTTGCTTTGCGTGCGTGTGTTTTTTTTTTGGGGGGGGGGAGGGAAAAGGAGAAGGAGGGGAAGGAGGATGGAGAAGGAAAAGGAGGAGGAGGGGAGGAGGAGAAGGAGGAGTAAGAGTAGGAGGAGGAGGAGCGAGGATGGAGGAGGGGGGAGGGAGACAGGAGGAGAGGAGGAGGGGGGGAGGGAGCAGGGAGGAGGGAGGAGGGGGGAGGGTGATGAGAAAGGGGGGGGGGGGGGGGGGGGCGTGGAGGAGGAGGAGGAGGAGGACAAGGGGACAGGGGGACAAGCGGAGGAGGAGGAGGAGGAGGAGAAGAAATAATAATAAGGAAGAGGGGAGGAAGAGGAAGGGGGGGGGAGGAGGAGGAGGAGGAGGAGGAGGAGGAGGAGAAAGAGGAGATGGAGGAGGAGGTAGCCGTCGAGGGCGTCGGCGCGAGATGGTCCGCCTAGTTCGGGATTCCCCTCGACAAAGGCCCGCCCAGCCGAGTAGATACAGGTACCCCCACATGAATTAGATGCGTGAGACTTGGCAACTATGATGCGAGGATGTCTCAAGCAAACGCCACCCTTCCCCTCTCCCCCTTCTCTTTCTCTGAAGGGAGGGGGTGGGCCTAAGCAAAGGCTTGGACATGTGCGTCGTGGCGTGGATATACGCAAACCGAGCCCTTGGATTCAGCATGCTTTAATCCGTCTATCTTCGAGCCATCGCCGCTTTGGCTCGCACTTAGCTGTGCCAACCAGCGCGCGCCCCTTTTTTGCAACGCAGTTTGCGAGAATCCGCAACGCGTTGCATCGTGGTTCCGAAGCGCAAGGTCTCAGCGAGCAACGTATCGTCCAAGCGCGGCAGCATAGGCAAGGATATGATGAAGCTGCTCGCGAAGGAAGAGAAGCTTGAGTTCCAGACCCAGATGGCTGAGCTGCAAGATGACTTAATGAAGGGCCCGTCGGAACTCAAGCAGGTCCGCACCGTCGTGAAGGTCGAGTTTTCAGCGGGGCAGCCCACCGACCACCTCAACCCAGACCTGTTTGGGAAAGTGATGGAAGAGCTCCCGCTGAAGTTTCTGAATGGGTCGAGGAGCCGGGCGGTTGCGCCAAATCGCAGATGCAAACAATGTGGTGTTTGAAGGACCCCAAGGCCCCCATCAAGTTCGCCAGTCGGGCCATGGTCGTCGACATGACCAAAGAGAGGATCTTCTCACTGGACAAGGACGTCCTGACCGCGTCGATCAATATCAGGCTGCTGGAGGTGGGAGGTTGGCCCACTCAAGTGATGCCGAGTCCCTCGTTCGATTTCGCTTGGGCAAGCCAGGGCCACTTCGCCCTGTTGCCCGCCGTGGGCTCTGCGACCAAGCCTGAAGACCATGTATACACAACTATCAGTTCCAAAGGCGTCGAAGTGCCGCTGTTCTCCGGTCTCACTGTCAAAGGCACGTGCGTTGTTGAAAATAATTACAATCACACGACGGCTTATATTTGCGACCCGTGCAAACCGTGGAATAAGGAGCCGCGCTGGGTGCCCTTCGAGAAGGCTTCCAAAGCCGACGTGATTCCACCATTGGAATGGAAGAAGGAGTCTGGGAGCAGCAGTTCACTCGAGACGTCCTGCGAGTCTCCGCCAGCTCCTGCATCCAGCGAGAGCCCCTCATCACTGCAGACCCTCGATTCAAAGCCATCGCTGACCTCGGGCGACCGCGGTCTCATGCAGGCGTTGGAGGGCGCCGTGGAGAGCGAGACTTCTGAGCCGCGCGAGCCGTCGGAAGCGAGCGCGATTCCATCTGCTGCTCTCGTTTCCACGGAGACCCCCCTTCAGCCCAGCGTTCCAGTCCGCCCAGCGACCAAGGGCGCCATCGTAGCGTTGCCCCCCGGCGTGCGCCCTGCAACGGCGCGCCCCGAGAGGGAGATGGCAGCCCTTCAGAAGCTTTCTTCTTCGGAGTAGTGTTAGGTTCTACAAAGTGCACGCTTGTACACGCGCGCGCGCGGCCCGCTGATTTGCCGGGCGCCGCTGGGGTGGGGGGGCGCCGCGAGTTGGCATCTGCGTTCGCGCTATGGGCAATGCGGCGGCGCTTCCCGCGCGATAGGCGCGCGCAGTGTCACGGCCCAACGCGCAGCTGAGACAAAACTGTAAACGCATGGACCCCAACCAGTCGAGTAGGTTAGCAAAGCAATGGGGATGGGGACGGCGGGCCTTGCGCCGACCCCTCACAATGCAACTCAGGACAACGCTGAGCGAGTGCAACCACTGTTTGGTTCTGAGGATCCGCGGCTCGAGGCCGCTGCAATAGGAGAGCCGTGGGCGAGCACTGCGGGCGGCTATCTGGGATAGGACCTTGGGCTTTCTGCCCCCCCCCCCCCCCCGATCGCCGAGGCTAGAAGGGGCAACGGCGCGAAAAAAAACACATATTACCAATGACAAACCGGGATGTGTAACACACGTGGCTATGATCCCACATGACACGCGCCCCAAGAATGCAAAGCCCCGCGCGTGCATCACCGACCCCCGTGCATTTAAAATATTACAATTATACCAGTGTGCGGCTGAACCCAAAGAGAGAGGCCACCAGAGGGCCCGCAAGGCTAAATCACCATATCTTATCAACTTGGGTAGACCTCACGCGTGTCGGGTTGTTTCCGTAGGTGAAAAATTGAGCCAATGATTCACAAGCAAGCATTAACTTCACTTGCTCGTATTCTGTCTTTTCGCTCGCCAGGATTGGCAGCATCGAAGCGTGCAGTCTGCCATGGCCATTTTGTTTTTTTAGGGGCTTCTTTATAGGTATCAGGTCCCTGTCTCAGGTCCAGCTCGACTGCGCGCGGCATCGCTTCCGTTCGCCTGCGAGGTAACGCATGGAGCCATCAGACTTTGACAACTCGCGATTGTAGTTGGTATATGATTCAGACACGCAGCTCTTCGTATTATTCGAAAATGGAGCGAAGAAAAACGGCACCCCCCTGCTGGGATGTGGTCCTTAGATTTCGACCCCGAGAGTGGCGGCGCAATGTTGATTGACCGATCTTCTAATGAACATCCAGCAAGGTGGGTGGACGATGAACTTGAACATCTTGTCATTCAAAACGAGAAGGGTGAGATCTATGTGCAGCGCCCTGGCGCAGACGAGCTTTGTTCCATTGATGACTACAGGCCGAAGTTTGTCTCAATGGAGGCAGGGGTTTGATGGCTGCTCGAGTCCATGAGCCTTTTGGGTGGTCACAAGACTAGGACTGAATGAGGGTGCGATCGTTTAGCGGGGGAAGGGGTGGGAGGACGCGGGTTAACGTGGGTGGATGGGTGGGTGGGTGGGGTGGGGGGGGGGTGCGACGCGTCTGGGATAAGATGCATGGCGGGGAAGGGGTCCATTCCTGTGTTACTAGCGAGCAGCCCTAGTAACCGTGCGACCGCCTGAAACCTCGTGCGTTCGAGCTGTAACGACCTCTCGAGGCGCCCGTGCTCGTACTTGGGAGCTCCGCTCTTCTGGTGATTAAAGTGTTTGTGATGAATCAATTAATTGGAGGCGCGTGCGCCATGTGGTGCTTGCCCGTCATGTGCGACGCCGTCGTTGCTGACGTTGCGAACACGGCCAGCCGATGGTACCAGAATTGGCGGCGCTGGTGGGCTCAGTCTCTCAGGCGCTCGGGCCCGGGAGCGTCGAGCTCCACCCGCGCAAGGCGCCGCCCGCGAAGCGCACTCCAGAGGAGGAGAGGCAGTCGTCATCACGATTTCCCCCAGATGCATCAGCGTCGACCTTCGCCCTCGCCCACTTGCTTGCCAGGCGGTCCAATCCGTCGAAGTCAGGGGCGAAGAACAAGCATAATGACATTGACGCTTGGGAATCCTTTTTTCGCAGGTTTCCTCTCTAGAGTTACTAACTCAGCCAACGTAGAGTGGTCTCTATTCCTGGGCGCCAATGCCATCGCGAGGCCAGGCCTGCCACTGTCGGGGCCCAATAAGGTTCGCATTCCAATGCGGCATGGCGTGGTCGACGTGCGCCCGCTGTTCGAATGCGACGAGGCTGCTGTCCAAGCAGCTAGTTTGGGCTTTTGCTTCAGCGATGCATCTCAAGTATTATTGCTGGATTTCCTCATTGCGGTCGAGCACGTCGGCGCCAAGACGAAGAGGTAGTGGAAGGAGCTGGTTTTCCAAGTCACCTGCATCATTGAGGGCGCGCGTCTCTCCGAGAGGTCCGGCCCAGAGGATTTGAGTGACGCGCCGCATCGCGGAGGCGATGGGCTGCCAGATGATGATGGCTCTAACGATCCCGAAGGCCTTAACATTACATCGTCATGTCGCTCTGCCGCGCAGTCATCCAGGACGACCTCGCACCTTGAATCGAATAAGCTCAGTATGTACACTGAGACAAACAAGCGCAATACACTCCTACAGTACTTCTTCAGCGCCAGGCGTGAGTTCACTGACAACGCGCATATCGGCATCTCCGCGGACGCGGGGCTCTTCGGCCTCAAGCACCGCATGCTCGGTTTCATCGCTAAGGCCAACGGCGCAGGGGCGCGGCTACCTCCAACGGCACTAGGGGGTCCTGAACCGAATCGGGGCCCCCAAACACCGAAGGCAATTTTTCGAATCCGACCCTAAACGCCCCGAACAAAACTCAGGTGCTTTGGTTTTCGGGCGGGGGCTGTGTGAAAACGCAGGCTTGAAACACATGAGAAATGAACCACCTAAGTGTTTGTCCTTGTAATTTTCGTTTTGGGGTGGGCACTAGGGCCGCTTCCTCGGGGGCTGGCCGGCTGCAAGGAGGAGGGGGGGGAGACAGCGAGGGTGGATTTTTTTTCTTCGGGCGCGCGCCCCCTGTGCGCTACGTAGGCCATGCCCCGCAGGTTGCTCCAGAGTTCAGCGCGCCAGCGTCGGCGATGATAGCATTCGGCGGGGGCGACGACACCGTTGCAGCAAACTTGGGCTGGGCTGAGTTGGCAGCGTCATTCTTCGAACGACCGAGCGAGGATGGGAAGGCGAAGAAGCCCAAAGACCATAGTAGACTCAAAGTTTGGCATTGGGCTTGCGCAACAGATCACATGCTTCACGTTTCGACTGGGCGGCGATGGGCAGATTCTGTCGTGGCGAAAGAGAAAGAACGCCCTGCAGATCCGCGCGAGTGGCCATCTATTTCAGTTTCCAATGATCAGGGGGGCGACGGATGGAGCGCATGCCACTTCCTGTCCTCCGAGGGCGCGAACTTGACGGTTTTCAATGACCAGAGCCATAGAGTATGGAATGATTTCCAACTTGCGCTCCACGACGCTGGCTTCTGGCCGATAATACTTCCGACGATCGTGGTCCTCAACGTGGACTCAGGGCCATGTGAATCTCAGAAATGGTACCGAGACATGCAATCCGCTGCAAAGGAGTACATCAAAGACGCGAATACCGACTGTCCAATTTTCCAAGGTCGCCTGCGTGACATTGCGAGGGAGACTGGGAAAATGGGACCTGGACGGAGTCAAGACTCAAGTGATCTGGGAGTCGATGTCTGAGGTTTTCGATGCAAAATTCTTGAGGGTGGGCGTGAGCAGGTGGTTCCAGTACGAGTCGGTCCGCAGGCTGCTCGGCGAATAGTCGAAGAAGTACGTTTTGCTTCGGTACATGAATATTCAGCTTGGGAATTCGCAAGACAATGGTTTCAAGCTGCTAGCTTCCCTGAACATCATCAAGTCCCAGAACAGGTCGGACTCCGACGATATCGGAAAACCGACCACCGCTCAAGACATTGAGGAAGTTCGGAAAGTGGGGGGCGCGCGCAAGAATACTGCGATGTTCTCAACCATCATGTTGGCGCAGAAGGACATGTACGTCGTGAGTGCGATTGTGGTCGGGGCGGGCGCGCCAGTGCGCGAGTTCCACACAGACCAGGATGCAGGAAATCGATCTTCGGCCGGGTAGGTGGAGTGGTGGTGCCCACGTGCCTGGGACAAAGGATTGCCCCCGCTTGTGGGCGTGCTTGCGAACCTCGAGCCCGTCTGCGCTATGGACTCCATCGTGCTCGTTCACAACGCCTCGGGCCTGATGGGCTACGGGGCCGGCCTTGCCAGCGACGGCCCTCTGGCTCTCTATCAGGACGACGTGATGGCGAACTTCGGGGACTTCGCCCTCCATCTCGCATGTCGACGTGCTAAGAGCGCATTGATGTCCCACGACAGCTACCCGACCATATTCTTCTTATTAGGATTGGAAGGAGGCGAGGCGCACGTCGGCAAGATGAAGCAGCACCTCGACGACTACCAAGCGACCAAGCATATTGGTGGCGACTGGTGGAATGCTATTCGTGATCGGCACGCCCTCTCGAACATGTGCAACGCACAGGTCTTTGAGGCGTTGAAGCAAGGCGAGTGGAAGTTAACCCGCGAGCTCGTCGATCTGGTCCCCAGGAGGCCGCGGACGATCACTCAGACCTAGCTGGTCGAGGACGGCATGCGACGGGGCAGGGTGCAACACCAGGATCCCAACTTCAAGAAGGAAATGGCAGATGGCACTGCGTGGGAGGTCCCGATCGACAGCCACACCGAGGACCAGGAGCAAATTTTTGGCAGGCTCGACTTCGAATCCCAGAACGCCCCCCGGGGACAGCAGGACCTTTCGATGCGCGGGATATTTCGCGCACCTCTTCGAAGGGGGGGCACATTGTACAAGCAATTGCATGCGAAGATCGTTGGAGGTCGCACCGCGCCATACCGACCCACGCAACCCCTTCATGAGACCCAGACTCTCGAGGACGAAGTCCTGATCAGGTATTGCGTAGCGAACGGGAAGATCCCCCAGGCCCAGCAATGTTGGAAAGGCAAGCCACTTGGGGAGAAGTACCGCCGTGTTCCCATATGCAACCCTAACGATGGCGATGGAAAGTGGTTCATTCCTTTCGGCACTTCAGGTTCTGCTATCCTGGGCCTGCAAATGATGACGACGCATGCCAAAGACAAAGAATGCTG